GTCCCACGCTCGTGTCATGTTGATTAGTTCACCTTCACAACAAATTATTCTTTAAAATTTTATTTAACTGCAATCAAAAACATCATTTAATGACACATTGCCTAGTGGTCAAATAACTGTAGCTCAGAAAGAAGTTGAGCACTTTTTATGCAAGGACAAAAACCTGTAAAACATCATATTACAACACATAATACACACTTTACTTGCTTGAATATAATCAAGTTAATTTTGAGTTAAGAAAGGAAACTTCTAGTACTAGTACTAGTGATGATGGTCCTCGGGGTCATTAATCTCAACTTTTAAAGGATTGCCTCTTTTTAGGACAAACCAATGCCCACAATCGCATCGTGTTTGCTCGTTCAAATAAATTTTCTTCCACACTATCATAGTTGCATCTGGTTCACCTGTGGATTAAGAAAGCAGAGAAGTAAAGTTAACAAACATCCATCTTTACAAGGGTTTTATTAACATTTTTGGTAGGAGGGCAACTGGTTTTCACAGGAAGGCAAAACTTTTCAAACCTTCAATTAGTCTGATGGATTACCAGTCAGAACACTACATGAATCTCTGTACAGTAGTAGTGTAAGATATTTATAGAGACCTATCAGAAAGCTGTTAAATATTCTACAAATTATTCTCACAAGTCTGCCATATGAAACAAGGCATTAATCCAGACAACATATTAATGCCCAAGTCACTAGTGGAGGGAAGGTGCCTACGAAGCCTGGGGGCTGCAACTGCAGTCACATCCCCAAGGTGCTAGAACGCCCGACTGGCCTGCCCAACCTGCAACCAAGCCATGAGCCCCCCGCGCCGGGCCCCTTACAGGCACCCATCACACTCAAGCCAGATGGCTCAGTGGAAAAAAAAAATGCTGAAAAGAGAGGGGGGGTAGGGTGGGAATGCCGAGAACCACTAAACCACTATAATTCAATCCACAATGCCACGCTAACAGAGCAATGAACACACTGCAAGCACGTGGAACGACAATGCACGTACTAACCAAGAATACTGCTGGACAATGTCAGCCCCAGGGCTCTCACGACCATATGACTGCTGCAAATGCTACAGAATGCACCAAACGCTAAACAAACGCTAACAGATGGCCAAGGCACTATGTTAACTATGTTAAATTTCATTTAACTATATATAACGATTCAAAAACAAAAGTTGTGTCATGGTTTTCTTTAGTTATCGGAGAAAACGAGAGTCGCCAGCTGGCAACCAGTTCTGAAAATTTAGTCGCCAGTGCTCAATTTTTGGTCGCATTGGCGACCAGTGAGTCGAAATTTCGAGCCCTGGAAATAGGGGATGTCTGCATGCAGGTTATCCAGAATTGAAACAAGAAACAGACCAGTTTACGCAATGTGAGATGAAAACCAATAAATATTTTGTACCATCATGGTGACTGTATAATAAGAACCTCTGGTCAAACTCTTATCTACATTTGAACATGATGTTACCTGAGAACATTGTCAGCAATTATATCCATCAATGAGGGTTTAGGTCTTGTTATGAAAATAATGTTATGAACCTGAGAAGGAGGTAAGCGTCCAGGACGAAGAGGAAACATGACTTCAACTTCATGTTCCTGCAATTGACATAAAAAACAAAATAACCTTTTTAACTTATGGAAAAACTCATGAAAAAGATTCTTATAATATTTTAAGAAGTCAGCGGAAAGGTTTGAATTCTGTGTCTTTTAAATATATTCTTAACCACATGGGCCATGCTACATGACACTTTGTCTTGTAAGCCTTCACTTGACCCGAACACCACAACATTAGTAAAGAATTTGCTAGTGGATGAAACGTTTTCTGCATAGCAATGACAAGTAAACTAAATGCTCTCTGTTGTTTGAGAATGAACAATGGAAAATCAGTAGAGAGTCTTTTCTTCTTTGTTTGACAGTCAGTAAAATAGTCATACATATTCAGCTGTCTGTCTCTTCACAGATGGAGGGAGTATTTTGCGCGATGTTGAATGTCGAATGAAGCACGCCGAACACCAAATGCAATGTTTAAATTGCTTGCGGCTAGTTTCACTCAAGACATGTTTGCTTGCAGTTTCACTAAAATCAGTTCTTCTGTCGCGATACATCCACTAACTAAAATTTAAGAAACATGCGAAATATCATTCACACTGTACACTGAGTCTCTCCACAAATGATTATAACTTTTTTGCTGTGAGTTACTTTTCTACGAGCCTGAGTCAGAGCAGCTGCAAAGCAGACACAAAAAAGTTAAATGCCTGTGGACTTCTTTGGAAAAAAACATGCTTTGTAGTCCCTTATATCTCTTATCAGCACCTTATATCCCAACAGAAAATTGATTTGCAGTAAAAGAAGCCCTGAACTTGTCACACAAGACAGACCTCTCGTGCGATCTTACATTTTATACTGTTTCTGGCAATCAAGTAGATTTCGGAAAAGGTCATTTGAGTAAATAACACGACTACAGGTATTACTGCTTCAAGTCCAAAGATTCCATTGAAGAAGTCACTCGCTTTCATTTTGATTTTGTGTAAAGATTTCAGCAGGGAGTTGGGGGGGGTGCTCCCAAAGTTTTTGTTGGGGGTGTGCAACCCAAACCTTGAAACCTGTACTCTACATGTACTTCTGACCAAAATTTGTGATTTTCCATACTCTATTTCAGACCTGAACAAAAAATTGATACCCCATTAATATTTCAGGCCTGGGTTGTTCAAAAGGTGGATAATGTTATCCACCAGATAAATCACTATCCAGCGGATAGTGTGGTTTGTTTTGTTAACCCTTATCCACTGGATAGTGATTTATCTGGTGGATAGCATTATCCAGCCTTCACATAATTGGGGCCAGACCTCTAAAATTAGTACACAGCTTTGATACGTGAACATAGCTAACCAGAAATGGCTTCTATTTGTGTGAAAATTTGAGTAGGACTTTGAATTTGTCAGTGTTAATGTAGAAAAGAATTATAGTTCCTTGTAAAGAAGATAGCCAATGCCAAGCCAGAAAGAAAAATATACCCTTTCTCAGACCCAAAAAAAGATCCAAATCTATACCCTTTTTCAGACCAAAACCGATCAATAATAATACCCTTTGGACATACCTGCCCATATAAGGGAGTACCTCCTGGGGTGAAGATTGACCACATTACAGTCATATCATGCAAATTTGACAGTAAGCGACTCTATGAAGTGACAACAGCTACTTCAAATTGCATGCCACACAAGTGATGGATCCTTGGCAAAGTGATGATTTCGCCACTAAGCCAATTAGAATTTTCTGTTTCTGGAGAAAGTTATGGGGAATTCAACTTCTCGAAAGAAGTCAACAGACCCTCTATTTTTGTCTTTCCTCAGGGCCACCCCCTTGTGTTCAAGCTTTTTTCAAATCCACTGCAGTTGATACTTTTGCCAATTGCATTCTCAACAAACTCAACACAAAATAAAGGGTCTGTAGATAGACTGTACTGTAATGTTCTATTTATTGTCAAGAAAAACAATTCATACCCTCAGCAACTTGTACTCAGCAATCAAACCAAAAGGTCCGGTCAGCTTGTCATCCCAAACTAGGGCCTGTTAAAAACAACCAAATTTATTCATAAACTTAAGCTTACATATAAAACTTATGAGCCTCCCCACTGGGGCTTTGAATTCGAATTAGACCAAAATAAATTTGACATCTTAACCAGTATCAAGTTAAGAATATAAGCTTGGAGAAAAAAATCCCATGTTTACAGGGGCAAGGATTTTCAATTTCCCCTTGCCAGAAAACGCACTATAGAACAAAAGGAACTTTAATATGTTATTTAGGTCAATACTTCATCCAGGAGACCAGCTGAATTCCATACATAAAACGAAATTTGAAGCACTGAAGCATACAAGTTACGTGAAGATAAAGAAATGTTCGTGTCACCTTAGATCCTGGTTGTTTATTTAAACATTGAAGCAGCTCTCTCCTCGCACATTCCCGTAACAATCCAACATTGACCCGGCCACTGGACAAGTGATTCCCTCCCGCGGCCGCCATATTGTTTTTCCTAAAGATGTAATGCCGCTGAATGTTTTCGAATGTTGAGCCTGTCAGCCTTTTACCAGCCCAGCTTTTGCGCATATTAGATGGCATGCTTCTTGTTTCATCCGAGAGTAATAAGCTTAAGTGCACCAACCAGCAGTAGATCTAGATTCTGTCCTACTCTGATTCTAAAATGTGCTCTTGCTAGAGCGGTCGTGACGAAGGCAAATTCAAGACTACAGATTTCAAGATGGCCGGGTAGTACGTTTGCACTAGTGCGGACGAGAAAGCTTTCTTCAAAGGCTTCAGGGGGATCTAGAATTTTAAAAATTTTGAAGTTCTTGTGCTTGGCAACTGGTTTGGTTTTTTGGGCTTCGATTGGCTTTAGAACCGCGTTATATGCGACTGGAGGGCTAGAAATTAATAACCCACAACTGGCGCCAATTTATGCCGCTGTTTTCCAGGTAGATTCTAAGGACTTCGCTCAAGGTGGAAGCGCAATGAAAGAAGTAATTGAGGAAATGACACTAAAACGTTTTGCTGTAGGGACAGTATGGGATAGACTCAGGAACGATGAGGCTTTCCGGCGAAAATTTGGAGAAAATGTGTTAATTTGTGGCTACAAAGTTAATCAAACAGATCCCCGTGGAGTTGATTCTCCAGAGCTATTCACAGATTACAAAGAGAGAAACAGTGACAGATGGAAAGTGTGTCTTTACGTTGATGGCTCCAATTCGTCTGGTCTTGTTACTATGGTGTTTCACAAAGTAAATACAGACAACATAAAATGGATCCCAGTTTCCCTTTTGATAGAAACTCTTCCAAACTCAGGTGTCAAGATCTGCGATATCTCTGCACCACTCCCCAATGGTATTTCAAAGTTCACTCGACTGTTTAAGGATGATTAATCACCACTGTTAGTTCTCAATTAGCCAGGTGCACAGCAGCACCTCAACAACAGCATCAAGGTCAAAGAAATAAAAACTTTTTACATCAATTCAACACTTCAGAAACAAAAAGAAATGTCTCATCTCTCATCATCTCGCAGTGGCTTATGGAATCATTACTGGGGACAAAATCGTTTTTCCTCTTTTTTTTCTGTTCTTAGCAACAGTTCCACAAGCTACAACTGTGATATGAGACTCGTCCCAGGTTTCTTCTCGTTTCCAAAGAGACAAATGCCATATCTTGTAAGTGTTATTAATAGAATTCTACTAGTATACTAATACAAATGCTGCAATCATATTATCTGATTGGCTGAGCTACTCGTATACTATCGGCCATTAGTATAAATCTACTAGCGTTCCATCACGAATTCCGTTCTCTGATTGGCACGCAAATTCACACGCCACATCATGCATGAGCGCGCGCGCGCTAAGTAATAAAATGAACAATGACAGGGCAGTTGGCCATTGCTATAGCTTTACCTGGATTTAATGATCTTGGACGTTCGGTGACCCCTATATTTCTTTGATGGATCATTTTCTCTACTGATTTTCTACATTTAGCAAAAAAATGAAGAAAATCTATTGACTAGATGTTTGAATTTTTTGCAAAATGCACCTTTGGTGGCTCCAAATGCCTCTTGAAGGGTTATGTTTTGTGAAAACGTTGGTAACATTGGAATTATTTATGCAACAGACCCACTTCTACAAAATATGACTAAGATTGTTTGCCTCCATTGACTTACCTTTGGTATTTTTAACCATAAACCCCTGTAGACTATGCTGAATTATGTGTGCCAATTTTTCCAATTCAGGGTAGTTTTCCACACACTTTATCTCTGAAACGAAGTCGGTGACCCCCAATTTTTTTTGCATTTCTGACTCCAGTAAAACATTTTAAAAAATCTATCAACCAGAAAATTTTCGCACATATGTCCTTTAATTCCTGAGAAGACTAAACTGAAGGGCATTCACAGTTTCGTGACTTTAAAAAAACTAGAAAATGTTAAAGAAACTGATGAGTGCATACACAACAGGAAATTCCATATGACAATTCAGTCTGCGGGGATTTTCTAAAGTGTAAAGTTAAATATGATGTACAAAAAAAAAATTGGAAATGGTTAGTTGAAGAAAATGTAAGTAAAAATTATACTAAAACAATTAGATTATTTGCTTTTGATTTCTATGAGTTGATAGTTGATTTGGCCTTTGGCCTCATCAACTATCACCTCAGAAATCTCAAGCTCATAATCTAATCGTTAATTAGTAACTCACCATTATGCAATTAGTAACAGTAATTGGACTAAATAACATACAATTTGCATGGTTTGTAGGACTGAGTGGAGTGCAATTTGGTAAATACTACGATTATCAGTTGAGTAAGGCGCAATGAAAGTTTGTTGACCAGGTTTCAACGTTCAAATTGTGTTGTTGTCACAGGCAACTGACTCTGTTTCCAGTGGCAACTTGTTGGCTTTGACATCATTGGCAGCAAAGCGTGCGAAATTGCAGGCAAGATATTGTTACCATTGGAAACAAGGAAAGTTGCTCATTGCAACACGGTAAATTATCTTAAATCCAAAATTTTGTGACCAAATTTCCATTGTGCCTTACTCAACTGATAAGTAATAGTAATTGAACTGAGTGGAGTACAATAAATGGGGTAATGGCGCAAGTAATTTCAAAATTGGACAAGCGCGAAGCGCGAGGGCAATTTGAAATTATGAGCACTACTCCCTGAATTGTTTAACACAAGGTCCAGTTACTAATTAATCATATAACAAATTTCGAAGTTGAAAAAGTCTTTGGGGAACTTCTTTTGAGTGAAAAAGTCAGTAGCGCTTCAGATAAATTTTCAAAACCATAGGAAACATTAAGAGGGAGTCTAGAAATGAAATTACATGCACAATTATATTACACTCTGAATTGTATGATGTAAGTGTTATATCAGTGACAAATTATATTTCAAGATTTGATGTCTTTAAGAACTTTTGAGCTGAGAAGTCAGTAGTATTTTCCTTAAGTTTTCCAAACAATAGAGAAACATTCAGAATGAAGCCATTATAGTGCACATAATTGATTTGCAAATGGCATAGGTGTCCAATTACAGGAACCATTTCAGGGTTCTCAGTAGAATTTTTCACAGATGGCCAATAATGCATAACAAGCAGCCAATAAGACATAACAGGTGGCGTAAAGCACGGCCTGAAAGGTCGCGCCAACCTAGGGGGTTCTGGAGACATGCCTCCCCCCAGAAAAGTTTGAAATTGTAGGTTGCCAAAGATGTGACTTCATGCATTTTGGGGGCATTAAAGTGTTGTATTTAAGCACTTGATTTATTTAAGCACTTTATGAACAGTTGTGGACCTATCAGAATAGGGAATTTTGCCAAGATTTGATTATTTTAATAAGAACATAGTAGGAATGTAGTGACACAATGACTAGGAGGAAAAAGTAATTTTTCTTATTACCAGGAAGTCATTTTCAAGTCCCATGTATATTTACTGAGTTCAGTTGCATGTATGTAGTGGTCATTCTTGAATGAGCATATGTAAGCATACAGATTCCAAAGGGACAAAGGGTGAAAAGAAACAGTCTACCCAGCCACGTATACAGTATGCCACCCGAGGGAAAAAACATTCCTACTGCGAGGCTGAGGTTCCAGATGACGATCACTACATCACTACATGACTTCATTTTTGTTCTCCTTATTCCGTGCAACCCTGATGTAAAAACTCCGTAAAATAATGTTGGAATATATTGAACATTTCTGTAACTACAAAGAAGGAACCTCCCTACATATACATACGACCTTAGGGAGTACGATTTGGTCCACCTTAGTGGCACACCGATGTCGCAACAGTCAGTGTTTGCACAAGAGAGGAATTCATCCTCTTCTCATATTGACATAATATCGTGGTTTGCACAGCCACAGTTTCCGTAATGTATAAAAGAACGATTTGCTAGAGGAAGAAAACTAATTGACCTTTTTTCTTGTAATTTTTTTCTCGTAAAATTCCTTTGGTTTTAATAAAATGTCTCATTTCAATTACTCTCTTTAAGTTTGCGAACAATGTCAAGACCTCCATTATGGTGATTGTCCAGTTCACGGGCCTTTGCAAATCATAGAAGACAGAACTGAGGAGGAAAATTCAAACATGACATCTGCAGCGGCTTCATTGCCTACAGGACTTATTATAAACAACTCGTCACTGCCTGGAGTAGGCCGAGGTGTTTTTAGCATGACTGAGATTCCGAAGGGAGTACGATTTGGTCCATATTAAAGGAAAAAAGATAGGGGGGCAGCATATTACAGATGAAACAAATACGAGTTACATGTGGGAGGTACTGTATTGTACAAAGCTTATGTCTAGCATAGTTATGTCTTTATGTCGATCGCACACCTGTCACCTTTGTAGTTACAATAATATTCCCACGCAGATTTTTTTCGTTACAAAAGCGACAAACGAAATCAGTGGTGTCAGTAAATTTACTAACACCGATAAAAAATACGTGCAAGAGGTTATTAAGCCGAGCGACCAGAGTATCGCATTTGTTACCCTCCCTGATGGATGCCAGGCCGTTGCACATTACATTTCCCCCATCCAACTTCTCCCTCCTGCACGAATTAGCTGACTTAGCTTTTTTTTATGGTTGCCGGTACCAATTTTATTTATGTGTAGTAAAATGCACTAACTATAATCGGCGACAAAATTGTTGACACATTCACCTTTTCAACCCCATATTTCGTCACTATGATCCCTTTTTGCCCTCCTAGCTCGTCATTTCAGCCCCCTCTCTCCAAACAATGTTGTGCGGCAATTGCTGGAATCCTGAGGTACAAAGCAGCAACATTGAATGGGGAAGCGGGGTCTTTTCCACAGTTTATTACGCGATAAAAAGAGTCGTGGTATTTGGTGCAGTAAAAAGTACTATTGAAAGACAATGTGTCTTTGTCTCAACTAATTATGTTGCCAATTGTAGATCGTAGTTAAAATGTTTCGGCTACGAACATAATACATCTGACTTTTTTTTTTCTTTACTCAGTGTTACTCAATTAAAAGTAACTGATGAAAATATTAAACTTCACCTAAAAATTTCATTTTAATACAATAATCTAGACGGATGGTTACTCGTCCGCATTTCGTACACCGGGTTTAGAAATAAGATTTTTTTTTTTTAATCCAAAAATTTAAAAACGCTTTGTCAATTTTATTTATTGGATTGTGAAAGAAGGCAAGTTCAGTCATTTCTTAGATGGCCGAGATGAAAGCCATAGTAACTGGATGCGCTTTGTAAATTGCTCTCGCTGCGAGGACGAGCAGAACTTGGTAGCCCATCAGTTTAGAGGCGAGATCTGCTATCGAACTTACAAATATGTAAACCCAGGAGAAGAACTATTGGTATGGTATGGAGAAAGCTACGCTAAAGATTTGGGGATATCTGTGTGTGAAGACCAAGTAAACAGAAAAAAAGGTAAATTCTTTCTTCTCGATAGGCTGTTCAGTTCTTCGATCACTTCAAATTTTCTTTTAGATTTGACGAAAACTCAACCATTTCACAGGAAGCTGAGCACTTCACTTTCAAACTCAAATACGTCAATGGGGATCCAATCTTGATCAAACTTGGGTGGGTCTACGTGGGACTGATTCATTTGCAGGTCGAGGGAAGTTTCTTTTTTTTGCAGGGGAGGGGGAGGGAGAGGGGTTCATGACACGATAGTGGCTGCGCTAAAGAGGGGACTTTCGTAAGCTCTGTAAGGCAAGACTCTCCTATTACGTCAATCGTTTAGCTCATCACATAACTCGCTTTTATTTCACCCACAAAGTCAAGGCAAATTTGAATTGATCAACAATACTGTTACTTATACTCGATGGGTCCTCATTCAGTAATTGTTCATAAGGTCTCCAAAGTGTTCTTGGTGAGACTTCATGAGATTGACTCGACTTCCGTTGACTTCAGCATTTAGTTTCCGCGTGTCGTGAACCCAAACAGAGAAGCGCATTAGAAAATAAGTTTTAACCTTGGGACAACATAAATATAGTAATTCAAATCGGTATTGAGTATTGCCCTAAAATGTGGGTGATTTGAAGTTGATGGCTTCGGCTATCAAGCGTAATTTAAGCCCTGTCCACACTACGAAAACGCAGCTTTGATTCTACGGGCGTAGGCCTACCATCCAAACCCACGCGTCCAAACTGTCCGTCACGAAAACGGAGCTTTTCGAAAACGCTCTTTAAATCGGAGGTCTTTGAAAACGCCGGCTTTGTGTTTTAGTGAAAACGGAAAAAATTCTGAAAACGGAGCTTTTGGTAAACGATGGCATCACCATAATTGTGTGATTTTCCCTGTCAGAGTTTTCCTCAACCACAAATACGAAATGACCGGTTATTGCCACGTAATAGAATTTCTCTGACGTAGTGTGGACGGAAAACATTTGATGCGTTTTCAGAGTGGAACCTCCGTTTTCAAATTCCTCCGGTGTAGTGTGGACGAGGCCTTGATGTCACCCGTCACTGGCCGTATAGGTTCTTTTTAAAAATGCTAATTTATTGACACTGCAAATAACGGGACATTTTCAAAGTTTTAATTTGTTTAAAAGTTTATTTATCTTTCTTCTTAGGTAATGGATACACATGCCACGGCTGTGAAAGGATGTACACTTCCATGAACTTTCTACAAAGACACAAGAACCATTACTGTTCACCTAGGACTTTAAACTGGGAATGCAGAAAATGTAAGAAGCAATTTACGTCAGTTAGTAGTCTTAACATGCACATCCGCCAGGCTCACGCAGATGAAAAGCGTACGCAGAGTACTCAATGTGACAAGGCGTTTATTCGATGTAATGCTCTGACCACGCATCTCCGTACTCACACAGGTGAAAAGTCATATCAGTGTACACAATGTAACAAGGCGTTTAACGACTCTAGTCATCTGACCATGCATCTCCGTACTCACACAGGTGAAAAGCCATATCAGTGTACACAATATAACAAGGCGTTTAACGACTCTAGTCATCTGACCATGCATCTCCGTACTCACACAGGTGAAAAGCCATATCATTTTACACAATGTAACAAGGGGTTTAACAGCTCTAGTCATCTGGCCACGCATCTCCGTACTTACACAGGTGAAAAGCCATATCAGTGTTTCAGAAAAGTCAGAAAACAGATTTAAATTCAGTAGAAATAATGACTAGTTCGCATTTTGTGTCATAAAAGATCGCTGACAGTACTGTGAGAACAACTGTTTACTGCGCCTTTCAATAACATGCGGACTCTAAAATTCAAAGCTCAACCGAGAAATGCGTTTTTCGCTACCCGTCAATCAAATGTTCGGCGGCTCGTCCCAGCTTCCGACTACTGCCGAGCGCGCGGTAATCAAATCGTTGAGCACAGTCCAGACAACGAAACAGCGCTCGGCAGTAGTCGGAAGCTTGGGGGAGCCGCCGAACATTTGATTGACGGTAGCGAACAACGCATTTGTCGGTTGAGCTTTGAATTTTAGAGTCTGCCTGTTATCGAAAGGCGCAGTAACATTGGTGATGGAAAACTCGGGAAGGTCATTAAAAGGTTATGGAAAGTCATAGAATTTTAAAAGCTGAAAAGAGAAATGCCTTTGATCTAGATCCTCCTAAATAGTATGCCACAATGCCTGTATGCCGTCAGATCACAATCAGCATCACAGGATGCGTGTTGTAGATGCATGCTGGAAGGTAGCTTTCACGATTAAACGCCGGGTTCCAGATATACGTCGGGTATCCAGGGTGACATTTTTTTAAGTAACCCCTAAATCATGAAGTGTAATACACTTTTAGTTTTAGGTATAATGGCAAAATACACGGCTGTGAAAGTAATGATCAAAACTCCTTGCTCAGGAAACACTGGGTTCATGATAGCCTGCTGAACAGGCGGATTAGCGGAGCAGACAGCGATGCGCGACAACGAGCTCGCTCGCGCTACAGGCTCGTGTATCGCGTTTCACTCTCTCGTCTGTTCTGCAGGCTAGGTTCAAGAAAAACTGCAGGAGACAAATAAACGACAGGTACACCGGGGTAAGTTTGAAACAAACCCGCAAAGAGAGCGTTTCATGGAGAAAATATGGTAACTTGCCAAGAGCTTTTCTGAACACAAGTCTTTACACATGTTTCTGTACAATTTACATTATTGCAAACATGGCTACATAGTGCCCAGCATGCCCACCCCATCATACATGTGAAGTGATTGACCACTCGGGTCGTGCTCCCCGATCGATGCAAAAATGCATGATATAAATTCTTATTTAACTTTATCTTTTAATATATAATTTATTGACTACTTTCCCCTCTTTCATTTAATTTATTAATAGTGTTAAATACTGAAATAAGTTTTGATGAAACAAAACCCGTATAAGCGCAAAATTGCCACCAATAGGTTA